TCACAGCTTACAAAATGAAGTGTTTAGGCAGAGGAAGCGACTGAGGAGAATTGATTACAGGCTTTCAGAGATGTTAACTCTAGCGGCTCCTCGCTGGCTCTGCCGAGACCTCGGAGTTAAAGGGACACGACGGTCCAAAAAGTAATGAAATAAAACCATAATAATGGGTTTTAGAGGGAACGTCTGGGTCCAAAAGTGCCCATTGGGGTTCTGAGAATAGCATCTTGAGCCTAGTTTGTAAGGCCAGTTTCAATTTTTTTTATTGATCCTGATGGACCAAGGAAGTTCAAGATCTTCTGACCAACATGTTTGCTATCTTCCTCCTGCCCTCTTGATTTATTTCCCATATACGTTGACCCCTTATTCCCAGAACCTTCTCCAGGAACCCCTTGACCCAACAATGCTGTCATGCTGCTTGGTCACAAGCTTGTTAAGTTTCAACTTTTTTATTTATTCTGGAAGGCCAAAGACGTTTAAGATCTTCTGACCAACTTGTTTGATATCCTTTACCTGACCCCTTGATATGTGCCCCATCTACCTTCACCCCCTATTCCCAGAATCTTCTCCAGGAACCCCTTGACCCAACAATGCTGTCATGCTGGTTGGTCACAAGCTTGACCACAATGTTGATCAAATTTAAGATCTTCTGACCAACATGTTTGCTATCTTTCTCCTGCCCCCTTGAATTGTTCCCCCATCTACCTTGACCCCCCTATTCCCAGAACCGTCTCCAGGAACCTCTTGACCCAACAATGCTGTCATGCTGGTTGGTCACCAGCTTGACCACAGGGTCCTCCGTACCAAACTCATTAAACCATGCTGGGCGAGAAGACCGAGCTCAAAGTCTTATTCCAATTCATCCAAAAGTGTTGAGCAGGGTTGAGGTCAGGACTCTGTTCATGTTTTCCACAAGATTTTGAAGGGTGTCTGTGGGAATGTGTGGTGAGGTCAGGTACTGATGTTGGATGAGAAGACCTGGCTCACAATCAGCGTTCCAGTTCATTCCAAAGGTGTTCAGTAGGGTTTAGGTCAGGGCTCTGTGCAGGGCACTTGAGTTCCTCCACGCCAGACTGGTCAACCCAAGTCTTTTTGGGGCTGGCTTTGTACAGAGGGGACAGTCATGGTGGAACAGAAAAGGGCCTTCACCAAACTGTTACCACAAGGCTGGAAGAACACAAGTGTCCTGCTGGTTGGTCACAAGCTTGATCACTAAGTTGGCCAAGCTTGTGACCAACCTTGTGGTTTCAAGGCTGAAAGAGCACAATTGTCTACAATGTCTTTGTATGTTGTAGTATTAATAGAACCTTCACTGGAGACACCTGAACTCCATCATTTGGAGGGTGTCCACATACTTTTGACTATAAAGTGGAGGTGTGATAGTCAGTCTACACACTTTTGGCCATATAGTGTAATTTGGGGGTACTTGAGGTCTTTAGCACATCTGCACTATTTCCTGGAGAGCTTTAACAGATCGGATTACTAATTTAACCTTGACGTTCACTGGAAAAACTCCTAAAGTTGAGCAAGATTTTTGCCCGTGGTGACCACTGCTGGTCTAGATTCTCTTTTATCACCTGGAGTGAGACCTCCAACCTAGGCTTCCAAACTCTGAACTCTTGTGTAGAGCACATGGTAATGACAGATGGGTGGAGCTGGGAACCCAAGTTCATAGATTTTCTGTTCACGTTTCTGACAGTTATAACAAGGTAGCGGGTTATGGTGCAGGACTGTGGCCAATTACCGTTTTCGGACGGCGCAGTGCATTGTGGGATGTGCCGCGGTCGAACAGACCGCGGACATCCCATAAAGTTCGGCGTTCGGCGAACGCTAGAACATGCAATGTTCGAGTCGAACCTATGGTCGACTCGAACATGCAGCCCATCCTTAATTAGAACCTTCAACATCCACCTGAAACATCTATTGTTGGTTGACTGACCTTCTAATACGTTGTTTCATCATGGTATGGAAAGTCACATGGTAGAAACAAGAAGATATAACTGATATAAAATAGGCAAATCTAATTACTTTCATTGAATTGGTGTTGTATATTACTGACATGTGGGGTTTATATTAAAAAAAAAACCTCTCTTCTAAATTGTAGGCCTGGGCGTGGCCAGAGCGGACCATGGAAACGGGAACGGTGGACAGGTATACGGTAGAAAGGACCAAATCGGAAATTGGTGTGCGCTCCACCCTGACCATCAATAACGTCATGGAGTCAGACTTCCAGACCACGTACAACTGCACGGCGTGGAACAGCTTCGGTTCAGAAACTGCCAATATTAGACTGGTGGAGAAAGGTAAGGCAATGGAATCCGGACTGTACTCCCTCGTTCTTTAAAATGAACCTGGGGCCAGACAATGGACATTCAAGTATTAACATATTCCTATCAAGCAGCAAACAAGCTTTAAAACAAGCCCTCACCGACCTCTCTATCTGCGGGCTCTATGGGGAAATGCATCCTTTGCATCGTTACTTTGGGGTGGGTGTAGCAGGGTAAGAAGAGTTACTTTGGGGAGGGTGTAGCAGGGTAAGTAGAGTTACTTTGGGGAGGATGTTGCAGGGTAACTAGAGTTACTTTGGGGAGGGTGTAGCAGGGTAACTAGAGTTACTTTGGGGAGGATGTAGCAGGGTAAGTAGAGTTACTTTGGGGAGGGTGTAGCAGAGTTACTTTGGGGAGGATGTAGCAGGGTAACTAGAGTTACTTTGGGGAGGGTGTAGCAGGGTAACTAGAGTTACTTTGGGGAGGATGTAGCAGGGTAAGTAGAGTTACTTTGGGGAGGGTGTAGCAGAGTTACTTTGGGGAGGATGTAGCAGGGTAACTAGAGTTACTTTGGGGAGGGTGTAGCAGGGTAACTAGAGTTACTTTGGGGAGGATGTAACAGGGTAACTAGAGTTACTTTGGGGAGCATGTAGCAGGGTAAGTAGAGTTACTTTGGGGAGCGTGTAGCAGGGTAAGTAGAGTTACTTTGGGGAGGATGTAGCAGGGTAAGTAGAGTTACTTTGGGGAGGATGTAGCAGGGTAAGTAGAGTTCATTTGGGGAGGGTGTAGCAGGGTAACTAGAGTTACTTTGGGGAGGATGTAGCAGGGTAAGTAGAGTTACTTTGGGGAGGGTGTAGCAGGGTAACTAGAGTTACTGCTCGGATGGGTGAGCAGTAGGGGCTGAGCTGCTGAACAAACAACTTGGACACCTTCAATGCTTCTGCTGTGAACTCTGATAATGAATCGCTCTACAGTGCCTGCTGCTACAAAGGTCACTGAGGGCTTGTTAACCGTGTGTTAGGGATATGTATTGCACGCCAGTACTCTGCCCACAGGCTCACATTAACGTGGTCAGCATCATCAAACAGGACTGCGCACCTCACGCTGCTTTCTTTTGACCTTTTTCCAGAAGTCGTCCCGGTGGGAATCATTGCCGGAGCGACCATCGGCGCCGGCATCCTAGTCATCATCTTCTTCGTCTTCTTCATCTTCTTCCTCTACAGACGTCGTAAAGGCAGTAAGTACCGACACAAAGGGGCGGCTGACAAACGCATGAGCAACTCGCCGGCTTCCCCCAGAGGAGCCAATTAGGAGGCTGTGTCATATTTTGTGATAAGCGATGTATGCAATGGCTGCGCGAGCTCTCTGCTGGTAAACACTTCTTCATGAGGAGACAAGGCGCTCCTCTCGTATACTTTTCATCTTCGTTGTAGCCCGATGATGTGCCGAGTGTCTTTTAAGTTCCGGCTAATGCAGAAAAAGTATTGGACGGAATTCAGGGCGGTTAATATATGTGTTTAATTGCCCGAGCCATTCCGGTTTTCGGAGCCTGAGAGATGAGGAGATCGATCCCTGAATAGTGACTCATGTACCTCAATGGGTATGCAGGCCAAGATTCCAGTGATGAGCCAAAATTAGGGAACCATCGTTGGTCATGTCTAGTTACAGGTGAATACTGGTGGGAACACAGGCAGGAACTGTACTATGGAAATCTGACGACTGGAATCTCCATATGTTACAACATCTAAAGCTCACCACATACGGTGTGGTCTGACTGTACAATCTTCTTTGGATCTACCGAAAAATATGGGTCACCCTGACTGAATATAAATTGTGTAGATCAGGGGCGTAACTAGAAACCACAGGGCCTCAAAATGTTGTATGGGGCCCCTTTGATCTCTAGTTACACCCCTTGCAGAGCCCAATTGAGATCTCACACAGCCCACCTCAGGGTGACCCTGCAGAGCCCACCATAGACTCTCCAAGGTGGGCTCTGCAGGGTCACCCTCAGGTGGGCTGGTCACACTCCTTACTTGTCCGCCTCTTCTTCCTACACCGTCGGTTATGAGCCCCGCCTCCTCCTCTGATGCCAAACCCGGGCCCCGCCTGCTCCTCCACTGCCGGGTCCAGCCTGTTCCACCACCGCTGGCTCTCACTGACTCAGCAGGAGCTGTGGAGAGGAACGCGCCGCTGCACAGATCGCTGTCAGTGATCTGAACAGCGCACATTCCTCTTCACAGCCGTCAGTGACAGCCAGCAGCGTGAGACGCCAGGCGGCCCGCAGGGCATCAGGAATGTCCTGGCCCGGGCCCCCCTGTGCCCCGGGCCCCATACGGCCGCCTGGGTTGCTATGGTGATTGTTAGGCCACTGGTGTAGATAGTTTTAGGTAGGTCCTCATATTACACAGTTTGGTAAATCGAAAGGAGATTGTACGGTTAGATTGAAATGCGTATGGTGAACTCTATGGAGGACCATCTGGCCTGGATTTTAAAAATATTCTGATTCCTTTGCTGAATTTGTTCATGACCTCTCTAAGATTTTAGACCAGGGGTGGATAAGTAAAAATGGAATTCAGGAGCCAGTCTGTCCAATCCAGGGGCCAGAGGGATGTTTAGGAGCTAGCTCAATAGACAGCAACTAAAGAAATCCTCAAATTTAGGTGGCAGCAAGGCCGGTGCTACCACTAGGCTAACTAGGCAGCCAGCTAGGGCACAGCCTCGACCGCTCACCCCTACACGGTGCCCCCCCCCCCCCCTCTTCTTTAAAATT